TGGTATTAAATATAAACTGAAATTGTGTACAAAACATTGAATGATTTAACCAATCCCTCAAAAATGACATTGATCAAATCACAGGCTCGTCGTTTTCTAAGCAGCAAATACAGAAGAGCAGCAACGTTTCTGTCGATGAATGAGCCGCTGGCCGTTTTCGTCCTCCTTCTTTTTCGGCTCGGAAACAGAAATACGCCTGCACTGCGTTTCCAAATCTTCGGCATAGGTACCGTTCGATAGTTAGCGGTTTAGACGCCATACTGGATGATGAACTTACCGAGTACTTGGATCTGCTCGGGCTTATGTGGCACTACGAAGAGCACCAGTCATGTTGACGAAAATTTCCATCAATTCATCCGATGAGAACAGAGATGATTGTCCAGTAGAATCATCGGAAGTTTCTTTAGGGGGCGGGTTGCACCAGCGAACTCGCTTGCCTTTGCTGAGGAACAAGAAGAGACGGAAAATCCTCCGTCCTGGTTGATTGTTGGTTGCCACCTGCTTTCGGATGCGTTTAAAGTCCTCGCGTTTAGAGCAGTGTCTGTCGGGACCGTGATGAGCACCACCACATTTGGCGCATTTTAACGCCACGGCTCCACCCGCAGGGCAGTCGGCTTGTTCTTGAGCGCAGTTGCTGCAGCGTGGTTTGATGTTACAGTTGCGGATACCGTGTCTAAAATTGAGGCACCGCTGGCATTGTTTTACGTCACGATGGCCGCCACGGTATGGCCACAGTGGTAACTCTAAGACTAGTAGGTCCCGAAGAAACGTGCTCAACTTTTTGGCTCAGCTCTGGTACTATCTTCGGTCCCAAGCTAATCGATTCACCCCTCGAAAACCCACTAACCCCTCATTTTATCTGTCAAACTTTCATTGCGAACCAAAACAAATATTGTGTAGTACTAGAATTTTGACTAGAATGGGGTACGTTAATTGATTTGCTTGGGACCAATAGGCTAGTCAAGTATTGAGCCAATTTAAAATCGTTAGTTTCCACCGTAGCGTACGATGATGGAATAGATCGAGCGGGTAGCTTGCAGCGCATTGAGCGTCACCGTCCCTTTCTGGAAGTGCACAAAGAAAAGACAATCCGGGTACGTCTTCACTTTTTTGTCTCTTCTCGTCATCCAGAAGACAGCGATTGGGGCCAGCTTGTACCGGCCCTTGATTTCGGTCTTGGGGTTGAAGTTCGGTATAACTAACTTGAAAGGCTTCTCACAGGGGATGTCATGCGTAAAGTATTCCGCATTGGAATCCTTCAGGTAGCTCACGTACCGACAAACCGACATGAATGACCATAGCAAAAACAGCAAAAATTTTAACCAAAGCACACTACTGACATCTGGCTCCGTGTTCGCGGGAAATGTTTAGCTAAGCCATGATCCCGCTTGCAAAAGTTATGGATTGGTTCGTGTCTGATCTATTCTGGACAAAGTATTTTTATCTAGATCAAAAAATCCTATGGTTTTGACAGTTCGGATCACTGCACATTTAAATCGGCCGTTTACGATTTTCGAGCATAACTGAGAATTAAGTGTCATGTCGGTTTGTCGGTGGTTCACGGTCACTTCGTACGGAGCATCACATTGTACTCAGCTGCAACGCAAATTCTCGTTTTCAACGGCGTCACCGAAATCACCGATGTCGCTGCCGTTTGTCGTTGTTACATCGTCACTCGCACCATCGGACTGGCCCTGATTTTTCTTCCTCTTCTTAGTCCACTTCTCCGTGACGGAGGTGATATTCCCAACATCGGTAGGAAGAGTAGCCTACCTATTCGAAAAAGGTACACTCGAGCCACTACTGACATCTGGTTCCGTGTTCGCGAGAAATATTTAGCTAAGCCATGAACCCGCATACAAAAGTTATGAATTGGTTCGTGTCTGATCTATTCAGGACAAATTTTTTTATCTACATAAAAAAATCCAATGTTTTTGACAGTTCGGATCATTGCACATTTAAATCAGCCGTTTACGGTTTTCGGGCATAAGTCAGAATTAAGTGTCATGTCGGTTTGTCGGTGCTCGAGCTACCCTCACCACTGTCCTTTTTCTCCTATTTCTCTCGGAGCCTCCGGGAGCGCTGCTACGTTGCGACCGACACAATCGTCTTGAAACGTAGAGATCTTCAGGGCAGTTTCATATTAATTTCAGGTTAATTCCAGGAACACTATCAAAAGAAGTTCTGAGGAATGAAAGGAAACACCGGCGAAGTTTCATGGACATACTGAGGAATAAGGGATAAGGGAAGATCCAAAAACATTTGTAAAAGTTCGGGCACTTCAGGTAAGTTTCGAGAACTTCAAAAAAGGAAAAGGGAGACTGCAGGAACTTTTGAGATGTTCTAAGAAATTCAAGGATATCCAGTGAACTTGAGGAAAATCGGAGAAACTTTAAAGAAGTTCCAAGAATCTCAGAGAAGCTGGGTCTGGAGATCTTCAGGGATGCTCAGAGATTTTAAGAGCAATCCCTATAAATTCAGGATTGTTGCTGATTTTCAGGAAAGTTAAAATATCTGTAAAGGTTAGTTTCGATGAATTTAGGGCAGCTTCATGAACTTCAGGAAAATTTCGAGAAACTTCAAGAAGTTCCGGGAGAACTCCTGAGAAGTATAGAAAACTTCAGACATATTTTGGTCTCTACGTGAATCCATAGAATTTCAGGAATGCATTTATTTCAGGGCAATACCGTGAAGTTCAAGAGAATTGCGAAGAACTTCAGAACTAACTAACTTTCAGAACATCCGAGTTCCGAGAAGCTCAGTAAAGTACCGCGATCTGCAGAGTATGCCAGAGAGCTCCAGAGAAGTTTAGAGATTTTCCAGCAGTTTCATTATTTTCAGGGATGTTTTGAGAACTTCAGAGCAGTTGCATAAAATAAATTAGGAACTTTTTAAAAGGTCCGAGAAATTATGGAAAATTCCGAGGATTTCATAAATGTTCCAAAGATTTCAGTAAATAAGGAACGAAAACTTCAGACGCGTCCAAAGAACTTCAAGGAAGTTAGAAATTAAGAGAAATTCCATGGGCTTCAAGAAAGTTACAAAAACTTCAGGATAGATCAAAGAACTTCAAGGCAGTTCAAATAAGAGGAGTTGGTTGGAAATGCTATCTAACATGAAGCTTTAGTGTAATAATTTATTAGCTAGAGAATGATCTTAGAAGGGGGTAGGTGGATAGTTCCGTTAGAGTACGGCAGTATGAAAATTGAATAGAAGTTGAAAATGAGCGAAGGGCCATTAATGCGGCAGTGCAATCCTTTTGCCTAACCCGTACGATGTACGCGGAGATTTGACGTAGGTTTTCAAATCTACATGCAAAAAGTGTGCGCCGCCTTTGCTCATTACTGTCTGCGGCTGTGGAATAGTTCTAGCGACGTTTCATCACCGACAAACCGACATGACACTTAATTCTGACTTATGTCCGAAAATCGTGAACGGCCGATTTAAATGTACAGTGATCCAAACTGTCAAAACAATAGGATTTTTTATCTAGATAAAAATAATTTGTCCAGAATAGATCAGACACGAACCAATTCATAACTTTTGCATGCGGGTTCATGGGTCAGCTAAATATTTCCCGCGAACATGGAGCCAGATGTCAGTAGTATGCTTTGGTCAGAAGTTTTATTGTTTTTGCAATGGTCATTCATGTCGGTTTGTCGGTGGTTTCATCACTACCTAAAGCCCCACGTTGCCGAGAGCATTTCCAGTCGAAGGTGTGTTATAATGCAATTTCTTCTTTACCCAACTATTGTGTTGCTCCTCTCGTCATGACCAACGTGGTCATCTCAGAGAGAAAGCAGTAGGGTGGTTGTTGCGTACTGTACCATCATCAGCATTGTTGACGGCTACTCCCGGTCCCGCCTTTGAGTTGTTACATTCAAAGTGTTTTTATGTTACTTAATACGCGAAGTTTGCGATTTTCAGAGTTGGTTGGAAATGCTATCTAACATGAAGCTTTATCTTTAGAAGGAAGTTCAAATAACTTTAGGAAAATTGCGGAGACTTTTAAAAAGTTCTGCGAACTTCAGGAACGTTTAGAGGACTTTATTGAAGTTCATAGATATTTACGACAGTTTGAAGTTATTGGAAAACACCGAAAACTTCAGGAAAGTTTAGATTTTTCAGGAAGATTTTTTGAAGAATTGCTGATTGCCGAAATCCACTAGGAGTTATTCTTAAAACATCATTGCAATTTGTTCCAAAATTACTTTGGAACTATCCTAAGAATTCAATAGCATCAATATTCCTTTCGGGAATTTCTTCGAAACTCAATCTTCTAAGAGCTTATTTGGAATATTCATTAAAAAAGGACATGGAATCTTTCTCACAATCGTCATCGAATTTTCATCAGAACCACCTTAAAATTCTACTCAGAACTCTCTTTAAATTTCACCTATTGTTCTTTCAAAACTCCCTTGTCGCTAATCCTGAAATATCTTGGTGTTTTCCATAGAATGCCATCCAAATGCTCCTAATTCTTCAGTGACAAAATCCTGAAAAGGCAGCTCAGTCAAAGGGCCATAAAAACATTCCAAGAAGCAGGATCTTATTTTCATCCGCATAGAGGACAAGGTATTTTTGTTTTTACCGATTTTTTTTTTATCTAATTTCACGGAATATTTCCGGTGATATCAAATTTCTGGATTTCCCCGTTTTTTTTTCCGATTTCTCAATTCACTGGTCACCCTGATAACTTTCTAGATAATAAAAGTGTAAAACGTCTTCTATATATAGTTTATTTGGGAGTTCGTAAATCATTGGGAGTGGGGGCAAAAGTGTTTTGCTCTCTATGTTGGTACCTATGGGGCTTTGGCCACATATTTCAACTTGAAAGTTCCCCCTTTTTGCCGTTATTTTTTATGTTTGTAGTATTTAGCAGACTTTGGAAAATAATTTATACTTACCACTTAACGGCGCCATCCAATAGATCTAGCCTTGAACACTGAGCCGGAACTAATTACCGGATATTTCGGATGCAGAAAAACGCGTTGGCACTTCTTTTGGTTAAGTTCAATTCTCAAATTTATTCAGGTTAGTTGAATAGAAAAAAAAACGAAACTCACACGAACTCTTTTCTTCGTGCGTCTAATCATAAGCAAATAATGTAGTGATGTAATAAATGCATTGAAAAAGCTCCACCTTGTTCCGGGAAAACTCGAACAGATCACTGATTGGCTCACTTTCCTGCATCGAGCAGTACTGTGCAGTAGTCCAAACACAATCGGTTGTTGTAGTTAATCACAGCATAGTAGAAGCTTCCATCGAAGAGCACCTGAGTGGGGACGATTCCTAGCACCGACTTCCCCTCGGCACATGCGTTCTGTTCCATCTGAATGGTTTCGTTCAAATATCGTAGGCTGTCAATTCCGTCCGCCTTGAGGCGGGAAAAGCGCAACTGGTTACCATTAGTCGACTCGATATGCTCGAAGACGTAGGTTTTCAGGAAGAACACTAGCCCAACGCAGAACTGGGTCAGCAGCAGCCAATTTTCCACTACCAGGTGGTCGATGCCTTCCTGCAGCGGTAGATCTATGATGCACTGAAGAAGGTGATGGAACAATTCTTTTTCGAAAATGTCGTAGCTGTATAAGGTGGCATAGGCTTTGACGTCGATTGTTAGCGTGTACGTTGATCGGTTCAACGTCAGAAGCGTAGGTTGTTCTTCCGCGGTCGGCATTAAACTGGTAACGATGTCAATAACTTCGCTTAGAAAACGAACATAGGTTATCACGATAAATTTGCTGCTCAGGAGCTTCAGTATCGATTTACCGCAGCAAAGTTGAATGATCTCCACACAAGATCGGCTGCTGGCAAACGGCCGATCGGTGAGTCTCGATCGTGGCATAAAGCTTATCATGCTGTCGTAGAAATCATTCAACCTATCCCTTAACATACCCAGTCGTGTGTCACCACTGATCGAGCTCAGCATACTTCGTTCGTTGTACGTTCCATAGTTATCCCGAGGATTGATGTTCGGTGAACCACTGGCGACATCAACCCCATTTAAAATTGCATCAGACCGTCGAATCGGTTTGATTTTGTACTTGTCGAAGAACATCTTACACATTGTCTCTTTGAAAATTCTCAATCTCACTTCTTCATGCAGATCCTCGTGTTGGTAGAAGTGAATGTTGTGTTCTATCACGTCTTGCTGGTACATCATAAACAGCTCCGCACAATCCCGAACTTCCTTTACAAATGATTCCGGAATGTGCTGCAGATCAAACATCGAACAGTCGGAATTCAGTCCATCGAACAGGCGATCCAAATATTCATCCAATCCGACCGGTTTTCGGAAGTACTTGGCAATGACGTACACTTCGGAGTTACCCGGCTTGGATGTTGCCGGTTTGAAGACGTGCAGCTCCCGGAAGCACACATACAACAGGTAGAGCAGATCGACGCTGGAATGTTCGAAAAGGGTAAACATCTTCAGTATGAAACATCCGCCCTGCGTGAGAATTTTCAGAGCGGTCAACGCCTCGGCCAGGTGCAGTTTGGATACATGTTCCTCTTGGGCTTCCGGTACGTCCAGACAGTCTATGGAACCGTCAGCCGTGACTAGGTTGATCTGAAATGGAACAGATGGTGATTTAACGTGTTCGTTAGTCACGTGAGAAGATGCTTGCGCTTATTCGTGAATATAATTTCAATAAGCCCCACCAAACCCTAGATGATTGGCAATAAATTGAAGGCAATTTAGAGTCTCGCAACGATTGCAAAGCATGACCTAACAGAATTCGAATGCAGTTGTTTACTATAAAAAGTGTACAGTCGGGTATCCTTATTCGCGGATGGTTTTTTTTTGCCCGTATTCCTAGATGCTTCAGCAGGTAGAACGCTGACCGGATATGGTATCCTTTTCAGCGAACTAACGGCGTCCAAGTATCCGGGAAAAACCATCCGTGAATAAAGATTCCTCACTGTAGGTATTTTACTTCACTTCAGCACCATTTTAGGAATCCGGTTTGGTGCAGTTCCTCGTTTATTGTGCTTACTTAATACTTATTATTACAACAAACCCCAACCAATGGCATTTTTGGGTCAATTAGTAAGTTCAGGCTGTTATCCTTGAATTGTGTTTTTGTCCTTTATTACCAGGACAAATAACGTCAAAAGTCACGAGTTCAAACCCCATCCCCGTAAATGTCTAAATTAACAAAACGTCTGAAGTCCAAATTTGCATTAACGATGTTTCACTGTTACATAAGACGTTTGACTATGTTCATCAAGACAAACGTCTGAAGTAACAGAAAAACCAAAACAATGCAGATCTCTTCTTCGGTCCTTTGTGTTTATACGAGTCAAACGTCTAAAATGTTCAAACAAACAATGTGATTGTGCACATCGGAATTTTCATGTCAAGAATTTTTCTACTATTTCCAGTATTTCCAGTAATTCCTTTATTCGGTGAAGCGTTCAACTAGCCATGTCGGACGGGACATTACCCAACATTGATTTGCTTCTTGGTGAGTACTAAAGATAAATTTTGTTTGCGATGAGTTGGATTCAGAAAACACTAATGTTAATGTGATTCTTCTAGCCGCGGCTGAAACGTTGAGCCAGCAGGAAGCAGTAACATCCACGATTTATCACATAAGGGGCTGTTCATAAACTACGTAGACATTCAAAGTGTTTTTATGTTACTTCATACGCGAAGTTAGCGATTTTCAGAGTTGGTTGGAAATGCTAACATGAAGCTTTAGTGTGATGATTAATTAGCTAGAGAATGATCTTTAGAAGATGTGGATAGTTCCGTTAGAGCACGGCAGTATGAAAATTGACAGTTGTACGTAGACAGTTGTTAAACTTTTCGAGATAATGCCGACAAAATGCGCCAGCAAATTTCTTCCTGTGTATCCCGTAAATCGCTACCAATTCTACAATACAGCATCCGTTATACGTTCAGATCTCTCACGGCGTTATCAATAGAATCGTTATCGATTATGAAAGAAAAAATCGATCTCCCTCTCACACATCTGCACCGAAGAACAATATCCGTAAGGGACAATAGCTCGGCATTGTGCTAAAAGAGCAGCTAGAGTGTGGTTGGCTTCACCAAGTAGTGCCACAAAATTGGATGATTGCCAAAAAGTGCATGTAGTGGTCCACCGAAATACCAAACCAGTAAAAGTGCTCGGCCAGGGACGGACACATCAACGGGAATGACTTTCCGGCACGGTATGACGCATTCCAGATCGAAAACTTATTTAAATGCTAACATGCGCAATGCAGTTTCTTTGCATACAACTTGAGGCCATCATCTCTGGAGTTGGAAGAGTGTTTCGTTCGGGTCGTTTCAAATACCTTCTTACAAACAATCGAACGACAGGAGGTCAAGGCATCGTCATCAGTGCAAATAATCTGCAAGGTCCGATCAAGTGGGACGGAGGAGAGTAAAACGAAAATCGGAAAAGGCCTTCATCAGGTAAAGTCTATCACCAACAACAACTGATGACGTGATGGATCGATTAACGCTGTGTCGCCTCGTTAGAGGGCCTTTTTATTGTAGCTTTAATCCCAACGGCTGGTTTGTACGCTGGCCATCGTACCCGAACTCTTCCGGTAGGACCTAGCCAACCACGCAGAGCCACCTACCTCCTTGCCGTCATCAGAAGAGCGCTTCTCGCTAGCCAAAGTATCCGAGGAGCCGTCGTGAGGCAACGGTGGCCGAGACAAGGAGTGTAGAAGAACCGAGGAGAGCGATAAGCTACCACGTATTGTTGGTGATCGCGGTGCACCGTCAATAGTGCATTGCAGCAGTAGTCGATCGGGACCGAACGGTAGTGCGACATCCGAGAAGTCGTGCGATAAGTTAGCCGGAGTCAACAGTGAAGTAGGGACACGACGTTGTCGTGCGACATCTGGCGGGAGAGATGCCAGATTTGTTTCTATGCAATTCCGTAGACTTATTCAAATCTACGGATTTCTACGGATTTTTTTAGTCGAAGGCCCCATTTTTTTTAGTTCTAAAGTGAAATTTTACGTTAAATGATAAATTGAAAGCACTTTTGAAAAAAAAAACTACTAGGGACAGCCCTTTGGGGTTGTACGCAATGGTGACGTTGGATTACGTGGTCGTATATAATAAATGTTATTTTTTATTTATTTATTTATTTCGTCAAGCAAAGTAGACTACATACAATGGTTACAATGTTTTACTTACATACTATGCATTATTTATATAATGTTTTAGTTGGGCTTTAATTTCTTCTATGCTAATGACTTCACAGTGTAGATTATACTGTCACATCATTCGATTGAAGGGGCCATTTTTTGCGTAATTTGTTCAGTATGATTTTTCTGAGAATAATTTTCGTGTTCTTAGATGCCGACAGGGTGTGTAGAAATTTCATTGTGAAAGTATTTCTGATGATTATATGCGATGTGAAATAATGTCATTGATGAAGAAAAGCATTGCAAATTCGCGGCGTTCTTTGAGTGTTTGTAAGTTGATGAGCATACAGCGTGCTTCATATGATGGAAGAGGAAATGCGGTCCAATTCAATTTCCGAAGGGCATATAAAAGGAATTGTTTTTGGACGGATTCTATGCGTTCCTCGTGTATGGCAATGTACGGATTCCATACCAGGTTACAGTATTCCAGAATAGGTTTTGCGTATGTAATATATAATAATTTGATAGTGTATGGGTCTTGAAAATTATAGCTGAACCTCTTAATGAAGCCCAACATACTATAAGCTTTCGTTATAATTGTATTATAATGTTCTACAAAAGTGAGTTTGGAGTCTAGGATCACACCTAGGTCCCTTACAAATTTACATTTTTCTACTTTTTGGTTGCCTAAAAATATTTCAAAAAGAGGTTTTTCTACTTTTCTGCTAAATACAATTGCGTTGCATTTTTTTTTTTACATTGAGTTGGAGTAGACTTGTACTACACCAAGTGTTGAATAAGTTGATTTTATCCTGGAATTCTTCTGTGTCGCTAGAATTACTTATTTCCATGAAGAGCTTCATCTCGTCTGCATATATAAGAACTTTTATTTTTTAAGTATGTAGGAAATGTCGTTTACGCACAAAATAAAAAGAATTGGGCCTAAATGAGAGCCCTGGGGTACCCCAGAGGTGACCGAAATAGGTTCTGAAAGTTTATTCTGAAAACGAACTATTTGTTTGCGTTGCGTTAAGTATGATTGGAGCCAATTCTGAAGCCTAGATTCCATTCCTATTTTTTGCAGTCGATTCGGTCAAATGCTTTTCTGAAGTCAGTATAAAGAGCTTCCACGTGCTTGCCATTGTCCATTGCGTTAAGAATGAAGGTTACAAATTCAAGAAGATTAGAGGTAGCTGAACGACCTTTAAAAAAGCCGTGCTGTCTGTTTGTAATTTAATTTTTTACTTGCTGAAAATTTTTGTCGTTTACGATTGATTCAAAAAGTCTTGGGATGCAAGAGATAATGGCAATTCCACGATAATTACGGATGTCAGATTTCTTGCCTGATTTGAAAATAGGCACCAAATGAGACGATTTCCAAATTTCAGGGAATTTCCCATTTTTCAGAGACATATTGAAAAGGCGTTCTTAAGAAAGGGTAAGTTGTTCTGAAAGATTCTTCAAGAATACAGGTGCAATTCCGTCAGGTCCTGGTCCTTTAGATGCGTCCAAATTTTTAGTGCATTGAAGACTTCATGTTGACATATTTGATTGACAGATATGTTGTTAGAGACTTCGGGAATGAGTGCAAAGAAGCCGCGGTCGCGGTCTTTTTCAGAAAATGTGGTGTATACTTCCTGTAACTGCAGCAGGACTTGTGTTTTGTGTCGGAATGGGAATTCGATCGGGGTTCTCTCTGTTTATACTTTTTAGTATGACTATGATTTCCCTGAAAAGAAGCTTTTGATATGAATTTTAGTTGGGACATGTTCAGAAATTTATCGCTTTTGGAAAATCTTGGTGGTCCTGAAAAGGGCCGATGGTAGTACAGGCATGAATACCATGATACTGTTGCACCTGAAGTTTTTAACATACTTTCACTGATTGCTTCCCAGGGATCCTTGTTCAGCCATAGCAAGATGTGCGCGTGAGGACTTACACGGTGCTGAAATTCAATCGTGTCAACCAGCTTGTTGAAGTACACACAGCCCGTGACTGGATTATCACTGGACTGGTGCAGTCAATTCCTGTATAGGATTTGTTAAGTCATTGCCATTGTGTCCTTCTGACAATCGATGTAGGAGATTCAACAAATGGGGCTACTTCATCTCATTTGCACTGAGTGTGAGGAACATTGTAGGATTTACCAATTGTCACATCATGGTGAACAAATTTCTCTTCCTTTGTTGACAATACTGTACTGAATTCGGTATTGAGGAAGGATAGATTTCACTCAATGCACTGCTCCATAAATAAGGCGGTCCTCAAGGTTGACACCTGTATTGTTTGCAGTCCCCGTGCACTTAAAAGTGCATTGCAAGCCTTCGGAAACTCTAAGGCGAAGAACTTTCATTGTCATATACAACAAATGTTGTGGTTTGGCTAAACGGCTGCCTTGACGACGAGTTTCACTGGATGCCATCATGAAATATGTCACCTGAACCCCTGGCTTGA